TTACTACCCAGACGATCAAGCTTTTGTTGGAGTTCATTTATTTTTTTCTTCTGGGTGTTAAAGCTCATTTTACCTAATGAAAATTTGTTTATATTTCTAAAGAAGATTGCCTCCGCTGCGTTTGGATTTTCCATTATAAATAAAAGTGACCCCCATCTATGTCACCGAAAAATAAACCTTAACATAGTGCTTCCGGGAAATTGGTAAGTGCATTAATGCAAATCGGGTCAAAATATTGGTTCAAGACCAACGATTTTAATATGGATCTACCAATCTCGCCAAGCTGAGTCGATTTATATATATATATGCATTTGGCTGCCCATTTTTATTTGCAATCACTCTACACGTCACAATTATGACCCGAACCCCACGAAATTTTGCGTTGAGTCAGGATCGAAATAGAAGCCTTTAAGGATTGAAATGGACCCAAAACAGAATTTTTCAGATTTGTTATAATGATATAATTATATTTCAATCGACGCGGAATTTAGTATGGGGGAAGTGTTTAGAACAGGGAAGAAGTGCACTAGTTTGGATGGACCCAGGTGTATTCAAAATTTGTGAATGAACGATTTGTTGTAATTTGAATGTAAAACTACCTTTTACACCACTACTTTTAATTGTTATATTATATCTTGTATGCATTGAATTTGTATTCATACGATTTGTAAATTGGAATACATATTTTTTCAGTTTTTCAATAAAACTTTAAACACAATAGGTTATGGGCCCCTAGACACTTTAAAAAAAAAATTCAAATTTTGAAAAAATAGTGAAAACTATGGCAAGCAACCAATTATTGTGCCCAATGGAGAAATTGCGGGGCCGCGAGAATTTTGATGTCTGGAAAAGACAAGCAAAATCGTTATTGGTGATAAAAGGTTGCTGGAAAGCTGTAAAGGAAGAAATGCCGGATACCGAACTGAATGAAAAAGCCCTGGCAGAAATGATAGATCCGAACAAATATGGTCACATTGCGGCTGCTACAACAGCGAAAGATGCATGGACTGCCTTGATTAATGCATATGAGGATACAGGACTTACACGGAAAGTGGAATTATTGAAACAATTAGTCAACATCAAGATGCAGAATTATAAAACAATTCAGGAGTATGTGAACGACTTGGTCATCATCGCATTAAAGGTAAAGAATGCAGGATTAAACATTGATGATGAGTTGACTGCCTCATTGATGCTAGCTGGACTGACCGATGATTTCAAACCATTAGTTATGGCCGTTGAAAATTCCAAACAGAAGCTAACCGTGGATATGGTGAAAAATCTGTTGCTACACGATGCAAAATTCGATAACGTTAATGGCAGAGACTCAGCTTTTCAAGCTAAATTTTCAAAGAACAAGAAGCAAATTACGTGCTACAATTGTAAGAAACAATGTAAGTAAGAGTGAACACGGCAAGCATGTGAAGAAATCTGAAGTTTTATTTGCCACAATTGATGGAATTTCTTTACCAAAAGCCACGTCCGATATGAGTTCATATGACAAATGATGATAGCAAGATGTATAACAAACGGCATGTAGAAAACAAAAAAGTCATCGTTGCAAATAAGGAAGAACTTCAAGTTGAATGCATTGGCGACATCGATCTGAAAGTTTCTTGTAAAGATGGGACAAAGAATGTAATTGTCAAGGACGTTGAATTTGTTCCAAATCTTTGTACAAATTTGTTGTCCGTGCGGCAAATTACAAAAGGTGACAAGTCTGTGATATTTGAGGGCGATTCCTGCAAAATCCGAAACAAGCAAGGAAAAGTTATAGCTTTGCAAAGATGCGCAATGAATTATACAGATTAGAATGTGAATCTGAAAACTCGAAAGATAAAGTATTTGCTGTTTCAGGTAATTTGAATTTGTGGCATCGCAGAATGGGTCATATTTGCCATTCGAAACTCAAAGATGTTAAAGAAGCCAACTTTGGATTAAATTTTTCGGAGAAAGAAGATGGTACATGCACAATCTGTCTACAAGGAAAGCAATGCCGAAAACCTAATAAAGAAGATGGTACACGAGCTACAGAACTTTTGCAAATTATACACACTGATGTTGTTGGTCCGTTGAACCAGTGCTCGTTTTCTGGAACACGTTTCCTTGTAACCTTCATTGATGATTTCTCTAGGAAAGTTGTGGCATATCTCATAAAAAGTAAGACTGAAGTGTTTTCAAAATTTGTGGAATTTATGAATATGGCTGAAAACCAGACTGGAAAAAAAAATAAAGATTTTCCGATCAGACAGTGGTGGAGAATACGTTAATCGCCAATTTGAGAAGTTATGCAAAGAAAAAGGCATTATACATCAGAAGACGTGTCCATACACCCCGGAGCAAAATGGTGTGGCGGAGCGTATGAACCGCACAATCATTGAAAGGGTACGTTGTATGCTCATCGATAGTGGCTTAGATAATCGTTTCTGGGCTGAAGCAGTTACTGCAGCATATCTCATAAATCGAGTGCCATGTCGACAACAAAAGAAATGTCCAGAAGAAATATGGAGAGGTCGAAAATCAAATTTAACGTACCTTCGAGTGTTTGGCTGTCCTGCTTTTGCACACATACCGAAAGATAAAAGATCGAAGTTAGATCCGAAGTCAACCGAATGCATAATGGTGGGATATAGTGCCGAAAGCAAGGCATACCGCTTGTTTAGTCCCAAGGATAGCAAGATAATAATCTGTCGTGATGTAACATTTATGGAGAACGGGAAAGTCAACAAAACTGAGCCAAGAAATGAAGACTTTTATTATCCAGAATTATTGCAAAACGAAAGCGCTGATTCAGGGGAGAGAGAATCCCATTATCAAGACAATCTTAATGAATCAACACCTTCCGTAATAGCTAATGATCCAAGTATGCAAAATTCATCTGAAGAAACTCTAACTCCGAATGAAACCCCTGCTGAGAAATCCGATACAGACAGCGTGTATTTAGAAACAGATTGGCCATCAAATAGCGATGAAGTCAGCGCACAAAATCGTGCATGGACTCCTAGCAGAAGCTACAGGCAAGAAAGTGTGGAGGAACCACAAATTCGGAGATCAGAGTGTATTGCAAATCAAAACCAAAATTCGTCATCATTCTGTGCCATTGATTTCGTTTCAAATGATCTAACAAGTTATAAAGAAGCAATGTCGTCGGATAATGCTAATAAATGGAAACGTGCAATGGAAGATGAAATTGAATCATTGAAGCTGAATAATACATGGATTTTGACTAAACTACCACCAGGTGAAAAGGCTATAAAATCGAAGTGGGTTTTCAAGACAAAGAGTGATGAAAACGAAAGCCACATTAGATGGAAAGCAAGACTAAAGGTTTTAGTCAACGAGAGGGTATTGACTATAATGAAACATTTTCGCCAGTAATCAGGTATGACTCTATAAGATATTTAATTGCATTGGCCGCAAAAGATGGTATGAAAATTCATCAAATGGATGCCGTAAGCGCGTATCTTAACGGAAATCTCAAAGAGGTGATTTATATGGAGCAACCTGAAGGATTTTCTGATGGCACGAAAAAAGTTTGTAAACTGGAAAAGTCAATATACGGTCTCAAGCAATCTGGAAGAGTCTGGAATGAGACGATAAATTCAGAACTTATTAAAATGGGACTTGTACGCAGTGAAGTCGATCAGTGTATATACCACGACTTGAAGAATGGGTATAAATTGTATGTCGCAATTTACGTTGATGACGTCCTCATATTCTGCAACAATAGCAAGATTTTGAGAAATATGAAGAAGAAGCTTTCCAAAATATTTAAAATGAAAGATATGGGAGAGGTGTCTACAATACTTGGAATAAAAATAAGTCGAAATCAGGACATTATAAAAATAGATCAAACAAAATATATCAATGATGTCTTATACCGTTTTGGAATGAGCGATTGCAATCCAGTTTCTACTCCGATGGATTCTAACCAGAAGTTATCAATGTCAATGAGCCCAAATAACGAAGAGGAAAGACAGGAAATGTCGAAGGAAGCGGCGAAGCGTGTCATGCGATATTTAAAAGGAACAATTGAGAAAGGCCTAGTATACAAACCAAATTTGGATAATACAATTACTGGTTACTGTGATGCCGACTGGGCTGGTAATATTGATGACCGGCAATCAACAACTGGATATATATTTGTATATCAATCCGCAGCAATATCATGGTCAACTAAAAAGCAAAAGACAGTAGCGCTATCATCAACTGAAGCAGAATTCATGTCAATTACAGCGGCTATACAAGAATCAGTCTGGCTAAAACGATTAGAAAAGGAAATAAATCCTGACGCCAAGAAGACCATGAAAATATTTTGTGATAAAGGAGCATTACATGTGGCAATGAACAATAATTATTCTAACTAAACACGTCGACATAAAGGCAAAATTTATAAGGCAAAAAATCGATGAAAAAGAAGTAGCATTAGAGTACATTTCTACTAACGAAATGTTGGCAGATGTTTTTACAAAAGCTTTACCATGTCAAAAATTATAATATTTTAGAAATAGGTTTGGTCTTTTGTAAAACAAAATAACATTTTCTTTAATTTAATAAAAGGAGTTTACATTCAGGGAGGGTGTTGTAATTTGAATGTAAAACTACCTTTTACACCACTACTTTTAATTGTTATATTATATCTTGTATGCATTGAATTTGTATTCATACGATTTGTAAATTGGAATACATATTTTTTCAGTTTTTCAATAAAACTTTAAACACAATACGATTCAATCATTTCATGAAAATCTATTTTTGTTTTCTTATGTACCAAAACCAAAAATTCTATTTCTCTGCCATTTGACTTGCAAATGGTATAAAAATAAGTCTGTAAGTCACGTTTGGAAAATTTTAACTATTTCCGAAAAGTCAAAAGTTAGTACACTAGATTTAATAGAATATACTACATCTATACTTATTCTAATACATAATATAAATTTGTTGTCGCTTGTTTTGTAAGTAAATGTAAATAAAATAACTTATATGCTTTTATGTTTTAGGTATGCTACAGAAAAATTAAACGCAAAACCAGGATTTTTCGCGACTCTCGTCTTTACAGTCATTGATTTACTTGGTGATGCTTTTCCTGAAGTAAAAAAGGATCCTCAGCATATTGTTGACATTATAAACGAGGAGGAGCAACAATTCTTAAAGACACTTTCCAGAGGTAGAAATCTCTTTAATAGGACTGTTGCCAAACTTGGAGATGAAAAAATAATTCCAGGTGACGTCACTTGGCGTTTGTATGACACATATGGCTTTCCAGTAGATTTAACTCAGTTAATGGCCGAGGAAAGAGGTCTACAAATTGATATGGAGGGCTATGAGTCCGCAAAACACAATTCCTATATTCTTTCTCAGGGAAAAGGTGCCAACAAAGTTGACGAGATCAATCTCGACGTTCATGCCATTTCCCAACTTAAGGATAAAGGAATTCCAGTTACTGACGATAGCTTCAAATATTCATATGATAGTGTATCAGATGATCCTCAATCTGAATATAAATTTAATTCGTGTACTGGAAAAATTGTTGCTATACGATACAATAATGAATTCGTACAAAAGGTTTATTCTGGTCAAAAGGCTGGAATTGTTTTAGATAAAACTAATTTCTATGCTGAAAGTGGAGGCCAAATTTATGACCAAGGAGTTTTGGTAAAAGTGGATGAAGAAGAAAATGAATTTATGGTAGACTGTGTGTACAACCGGGGCGGTTACATTCTTCATATTGGGATTGTGGAAGGCTGCCTTGCTGTTGGAAATACGTTGAATTTACAAATTGATACAATTAGACGATCGCTGACCATGAAAAATCATTCTGCTACGCATGCCCTCAACCACAGCCTTTTAAAAGTACTGGGCAAAGACACCGATCAAAAGGGTTCCTTAGTAGTGCCAGAAAAATTAAGATTTGATTTTAGCTGCAAATCTGCCATGACTACTGAACAGATTGCAAAAACTGAACAGTTAACAAAGGATCTTGTGTACCAGAACGTCCCCATCTATGCAAAAGAATCAAAATTGCATGTTGCAAAAACCATCCGCGGGCTGCGCTCCGTTTTCGATGAAGTATACCCAGATCCAGTTAGAGTTATATCCTTTGGTATCCCTGTTGAGGAATTAGAACAGAATCCAGAAGGTGATGCTGGAGAAAAAACTTCTGTAGAATTCTGCGGAGGAACTCACTTAAAGCGGTCAGGCCACATTGTCGATTTTGTAATAAGCAGTGAGGAAGCTATTTCAAAGGGCATCCGACGCATTGTAGCTCTTACTGGGCCAGAAGCTTTGAAAGCTATAAGTAAATCAAACCTATTTCAAGCTGAAATCGAAAAACTTAACAAAGCAATCGAAGAGGATTCCCATGGTAAAAATTCTAAAAATATTGTTAAACAAATTGTTGAAATTAATGAAGAAATTTCTCGCGCCACTATTCCCCATGTTAAAAAGGATGAGATGAGAAACAATCTTAAAAATCTTAAGAAAAAATTAGATGATAAAGAGCGCGCATTGAAAAATCTCGTTGCACTACAAGTAGTAGAAAGGGCTAAAGAATTGTGCACTTCTAAACCGAATGCTCCGTATATGGTAGAACAATTGGACGCCTATAATAACACTAAGGCATTAGACGCTGCTCTTAAACAAGTTCGATCGTTATGTCCAGACACTTCTGCAATGTTTTTGTCTGTCGATGTTGACTCCAAGAAAATATTCTGTCTATCGTCTGTTCCCAAGACTGCTGTAGAAAAAGGCCTGAAAGCAAATGAATGGGTACAATATATTTCTTCCGTTCTCAACGGCAAAGGTGGCGGTAAGCCCGAATCTGCACAAGCATCCGGCTCCAACTACGAAAATATCGTAGACATAATTAAAGTAGCTGAAGAATTCGCAAAAACTAAGCTTGAGGCTTAATATATCGGTGTAACATTATCAGTAACTGACTTGTTCCGTATAGTATATGCATTTACAATGTAATTTTTTCCCCAATGTATGTTGAGTAATTATGCGGCTTAATAATTAATATTTATAACTGGACACATCATCTATTAATTTTACACAATTTTCACAAATAAATTCGTCAGTTTCTAAAACACAATGTGGACTTTTAATTTTAAAAATTATAAATCCCTACTATATCTAAAAATAGGTGAAAATGACATGCAAATGGTTACATGAAGATTTCATGCCACAGTTTGGTTTAAAATGCCATACCAAGGGTTTGGTTAAAGAGTCATGCCAAAACTTGAATGGAACTGCCATGCCCAAGTTCAGGATCTTTGCCTGTGTAGTGCCAAATAAGATGTCAACCCATATCATATTTACGCAGTAAAATTATTTGGAAAAGTTTGTATGGCAGTACCTTAAATACAAATAAAGAACGTCCCAACTAGGATGCAATTTTTAAAATTTTAATAAAACACTGGCATTTAAACAAGAAAATGTGAGACTTTAATCCTAAAGTAGACAGAATAATGTTATTTATGGAATAAGGTATCGTGCCATAGACTTCAAAAAACCCCAAAGGAAAAGATTAAAAGGTGTTAAATCGCACGATATAAGCGACCAATTCTGATCACAGCCATTATCTGGCTGCATGACATGTAAGGCCGTCTTATTGAAACCATATGCCCTCCAAAAATTCATTTTTTTCAAATCTAGACAAGAAAAAAACTGGTTATCAAAAAAGGTCCAATGATTCTTCCAGCCCATGGATATACTCCATGGTAGGATAATACAGGTAACATCAAGTGTTGTTAAACAATAAACCCATACAAATATATTTTTGTACGTAATACTAGTGTAAGAGTTATATGCCCAAAAATGTAAACAAACAATATCATTCTAATAAATTTCAATTGATAATGTTAATTTTTGGAGTTTGGATTAATAATTTAAAAATAAAGAAAATTACTTTTTTGTTGGCAACCCTGTTGTGATTAGTGTCAAAAAATGGTGGTACTTCGTGCTTTTAAAAAAATTATAAGTTATATGTTTTATTAAATTAATTAATCTGGTAAAAGAAGTGTTTAAAAAGTGTTCAATATTGATTTTGTAACTTAAAGTGATAATTGGTGTAGTGTTTTAAAATCTTTTTTTGTGTTTTAAAGTAATATCAATTTTCAAATTGTGTAGTTTTTCATTCTCCCTTTTATCCTGTTTCTTATGTTAAATTAGCTAATTTGTTGTTGTAACATATCTTCTTGTTTTGTTTGTCACTTCATAAGAGTTGCCAACATTAAAAAAACAATAAAAAATTCCAGCTACAGATCTAATCTTGAAAATATAGTTGTAACTTGTGTATTAAAAAAGAAATAATTGTTATTAAAATAAATAAAATGTCGTGCCCTTTTGAATTGTACAATTTTGTTGCAGAGGATGAATTGTGTGTTACCTGTTGGTTTTGTCTTAATCAATGGCATGCAAAATATGCTAGGGATAATGCAAAAGTCGTATACACAATTAGAAATAAAGTTGGTGTTCGTTGGTGTTGTGTGCAATGTCGGAAACTCTCTGCAGTCGGAATTGACATCGATGAAAAAAGATTTTCCTTACTATGACTCCGATTTGAAAATTTCTCTACATTGTTTGAGAAATACCAAGAATTAGAAGAGTTTGTGTCGTCACCGTCAGTTTCTGGCCAGAAACGCAAAAGGGCTGGGAAAAAGACACCAACTAAGGGAATGCCTAGTCGCAAAGGAATAGTTTCTGTGGAGAACACTGTTCCACAACCGGTTTCAGTTAATATCACTGATACAACTGAGATTCGACGTGAACAGTCGTATGCCAGTGTTGATACATACCCAGTTGCGGTGGTTAACAGCGGTGTAAGTAAAGGGGTAAATAATCCTGATGTTATGGGTATTGATAGTGAGGTTTCTAAGAAAACCTCACAATCTACTCGTGCCATACAGGAATTATAACTTCCTTCACTTATCACTAGTGATCGTCCCGAGACTGCTACTGGCAAAACTCAACCTGTCCTAAGATCATTATCTATGGCTCCCGCCTTGAAAATGATATTTGCAACAAAGTTTGCACCAGAAACAACGGCCGATGACATAAGCTATTATATAAAATCAAAAATTTGAGGGAGATTACTTTTTGAGATGTTATAAGCTCCGATCTGCATTTTCTGAAAGTAGATCTTCTTTCAAAATCGTTGTACCTGAATATCTTTTCAATTATATTGTATTGTTTTTCTCCGAAACTTGGTTAAAAACATCTATATTATATAGTGACATTTTATATTCAAAATATCAAATATTTAGAAAAGATCGTGTTTGTAAAAAAGGTGGTGGCGTCATAATTGCAATTGATACCAAATATACCAATTATTTAATTGATCTAAATGATTTTCTTATTTATAGATCTAAATGATTTCTTAGAATTTGTTGGTCTTCACCTGACATTTATAATCAGCATTTATCAGCAATAAATTTAATCACTAAAAAATGAAACATTCCGATCGCATCTTGATCCTTGGTGATTTTAATATGCCTTCCATTAGGTGGCTTCCAATTGCAGATTCTGAAGCTTTGATTCCTTTGCCGTCCGAAATGAACAGTACCCAGTAAACATTTGATGTTATAAATAGTTTGTGTGACTTAAATCGTTATCAAATAAACAGTGTGAAAAATTCCCACGGCAAAAATCCTGATTTAGCGTTTGTAAATATAACACAGCATTTTGATATATTCAGAATTCCTCCAATATGCACTCCTGAAGATATATACCATCCAACTTTATATATCTCCATGACTCACAGTTATGTAATTGAAGAAAGTCAGTCCGACTCACTAATTTCTCTGTTGCTAGATCTAAATATACTTTAGGGTCTCGTAGATTGTATAATCTTTACCCAGACAAGATTAAAAATAATTTTAAATCAATCTTTTTATGATTTTGTTAATCAGTATTGAAATATAATATAATAATATTACTGAATGTTTCGCAGATTTTTTTCCACAACCTATTCCAGTACATCTTGCCAAATTAAAGGTTCGTATCCTTATAAGTTATCACAGGCTGATCAAATTTGTATGCCTTTTCTACAACGTCAGGAGGTGTCCAATAGTCTGCGTAGTTTAAAATCGATTAAATGTCCAGGACCGGATGGCATACCTAATATAATTCTTAAATATTGTTCAGAAACATTAGCACTTCCTTTAACTATATTGTTTAGTTATTCACTTAAAATTACCCACGTTTCTAGTGTTTAACTCCGAAGAGTGGGGAATGGCTTCGATTAGCGGCAGCGACAACAAAACTCCCCAGAGTATTTTATGATGTGAGGTATGCGATGTGTAGGTGAGAGATGTGGTGAGGTGCGGGTGATACGCGTGTGTGGTGTGAGATAAAAGAAAGAGATATACAAGAAATGAAACAAAGACAAATTAATATTATTTCTTAATATAATTCATGCTTTATTTGTGCTTCTTTTCAATGCGACAAATTACGTTTAGTAATTGGGGTGGCGACAGAGGCCGTGTGCTTTCGCTTTCGTTTCTACAAGACAAGTCAACGCAATGGTTCTGAGTGACCGCTGAGGGTCTCATGTCTGTCTACTATTACATATACAAATACAGAAAAGTGAACGCAGAGGATCCCTTGTCTCTTTTTATTACAAATACTTCCAATGAGAGCAAACCGACAGCAACGAATGCCCATCGGAGATCCGCTCACTACGGTCTTAGCCAAGGGAGTTGTAGAGTTGATTGATCGAGCAAGGGAAGTTGTGGTGGAACGTATCGAACTTATACATTCCGGCCCCCTTGCTAGAACTACGAGTCTAGCAATCTAAATAATGGTTTATTAAGTTAGGAGAGAACGTAAATTCAGATTCCTAAGTGAGTTATAGTTGCAGATTTGCAAATTATGACACAAACGATTTAATTCAGTTTTACAATTTCAATGTTTAGTGCGTGTGATATTTTTAAATTTTAAGCGATATACATTATTTTAAGAAATTTTTTGAGTTTCAGCTTCTAGAATTTTAGGATACAAGTCAGCGCCAAGTAGCAAATCTATTGGGCTATTATCGAAAGAATCCGCTAAATCAAGATTAGGAATTCGACTCCTTAAATTTGTCGTGGGTGGAAGAGAAAGCAATTTCCCGGTGACATTAGGCTTGACTAAAACTCTAGTTTCGGCAATTCTAGACGATTTTTTTTGGAGAACAGCTGAATAGAACAAACTTCTCTTGGAGCAGCAAGTTTAGATTTTTGAATGCCAGTGTGAGTCGAAATTCCAAGAGTATTTCTAAGCCTTTTACTAATAATCGATGCCGTAGAAGGGTCTATTATAGCACGAGCAGTATAACTTTTACCATAATGAACTATGTTTCCAAATGTAGTTCCCAAGAGCACATTTTTCGGAATGGTGTTGGGAGACTGGCTGGAACTATTTTTAACAGAGGGTGGGTGCGTTTTAGAAGGCTCAGGTCCTCGACTTTTGACCTTCGTAAAAGTAGGAGGGGACTTTGAACCTCGACTTTTGACTTTGGTAAAAGCCGGAGGTAGTTTTTTAGAATTCAAGGCGAGATTTTGAGTAGACTTGCAGAACAGCGAAGATTTTCGACTTTCACTATTGTTGGAAACCAGAGATGGTTTTGAGCAAAATGCTGCAACAACTCTACTAGTTTGTGGCCGGTGAATAAGGCTGTGATGCCTTTGCTTGCAAGATTTACAACTATTTGTGCTATGACAATTTTTAACTACATGGCCACGCGAAAGACAATTTATGCAACACTTATTCTTTTCCACAATCAAGCATTTGTCCTCAAACGAAAGTTGTATAAACTTGGGGCAGAGTCGAAGAACATGTGTATCGTTAGGACAAATGGAGCAATAAGTGTTTGGCCGAGGAGAAGGAGCAACACATTTTGACTCATGTACCAATGACTTTAATGACTGAACTAGATGTACGAACATGCTTGGATGCCAACGATCTAGTGGGGGAGCAATGTGGGCGGATTTTTATGTATGCTCTGAATACACTGCAAAGTTTGTATTCTGTTTGTGAGAAAAGCATCTAAGTCTGGCCAGGAAGGCAACAACGACTTATTTTTGATACTTTGCTCCCACAAAGCCAAGGTGG